CCAGACTTCATGCAAAAAGCAATAATCATGCACCTGGTTGTCCGTGCGTTTCTATAATGCACCACCTTTATCCCAATTGACGCCCTTCCTCCTGCATGTCGGAAAGGATCAAAGCACTGCCAATATGAGCCCAAGTGTTAGGCTACAGCGTGAGGATTCTGCTAAGAGCGATTTGCGAGTTTAGTGCAAAAACGCATGATCGCACCAGAGAACCTGGTGCACTGCAGTTTGGGTTTAATGTGATTCTCATTGAAAATTGTCAACACAAGCAGTAGCGAGCATTGGGTTTGCCGGTGCAATAATGCGTTTTTGCGCGAATGCTAAAGCAAACAAATCGCTAACAACGGTTATTACTCTGCAGTAGAGTATGTCCGCTCATGCAGGCACTGTTTTCTGTCTTTTCCCGCATGTAGAAGGAAACGAGCTTTGGCTGAAACGGCGGTATTTTATTGTAAAAGCCGCTGGGAATCTTAGTCTAACATATTTTTCAACAGTTTGGAGCTCAAGTTCATCGGAATCGTGTGGAGGCGTAAGTATTCTTAAAATCTGATTACGTTTTTAGTGACGCCAGTATTCTCAAAAAATTTCAGTTTTCTTGCTTATCTGATTGTTGAGAGAGAAGGATAACGAAAGCGTTACAACTTGAATGATTCATGCATCTGCGTGCGGAGCACATGCAAAACCAAAAGTTCGTTTTACGCCTATAAGATGGCATATGGACAACAAACATTCCCACAAGATTACGGTGCTGAATCTGGTTACAGAATTAAATGGGTTCTATAATTATTTAGAATTTAAAACTTACCTTTGCTTGACGCAAAATATAAGTCTGCCTCAAAGCAGAATTTAAAATTTTTAGTTAGGGAGTAGATACAGGATGCTCTCGTACAATTACAGCGTCGAGGTGTAGCTTAAGGCGTAATTTAGGTATGCAAGTCCCCCACATGGACAGCAAATTCCCTCGTAAATTACATTTATCTCCGAATAATTCCAACTTGGCAGGTGCCAAAAAAAAAAAACGGCAAGCTCCTATTTGCCTGTACGCAAGACACAGTTGCTAAACATGAAATTTTCAGTTCTGCATAAGAATTTTTTTTTTAGCATTTTGCCTACATTAATTGGCTCGTTAAATTATTTCCGACCAAAGCTTTTTCACGCTTCTTCAGGCTGGATGTCGGCGAATTTTGATTTTAGGATAGAAAGGTTGTAAATGGGGTGAGAGTATGCTTCTGAAATTTTAACTTCTTAGCTACTCCGATTGCTGGGTTGAAAGTAGTTGAAAAAGTCTATCCATATCCTCCATCCCCACCTTCACCCAAAACACGCACACAGCGGCAATCTGTTGACAGTATAAATATTAGTATTTGCATAAATAACCGGTATGGTTTCTGCGCAGCGGTTTAACACGTGGATTCATGTCGGCCGTCTTTGGCTTTTTCCTGTGTGTAGGAGAAGGGACGCTGGCTGAGATGGAGATTTTGCATTATGGGACTGGATTAACTTCCAGCGTTCCTGTTTATCAATCGTGCATGGAACCCGGAGTTTTCCCGGTGAGCGGTCAATCTCGAAAAAAAAAAAATGCAAATTTGACAATGCGCAGGATGTCGAAAAAGGATCACGAAGTCCGCCAAATACACTCGCCTTTCATTTTGCGATAAAATTGGGCATTTTTCTTGCCCACGTACAGGAAATCCCTGCAAAATTCGGCTTCGCAGCTTGTTCGGTAAGCGAAATACCCTTTTGCTACAAATACCCCTGAGCGAGGGAAATGATTATCTTGAGAGCCACGGGACCTAGGAAGCTAAAATTTTATGGGTGTGTCCTTTGCCCACGCGCGGCCCAGAAAATTTAAATTCAGCTTTCCCCTGCCTGCGGGCATCATATGTAGCCTCGTGAAACTTTTGGCGGGCAAATTTTATCTCGAGAACCGCTGAAGTTAGGAATCTGAAATTTTAGGGTGACGTTCTCTACCAATGTACGACCCTGCAAATTTGGATTCAGCCTTCGCGTACCCTTGGGTACCACTTGGGGCTCCGTGAAAGTTTTGGTTGGGAAATTATCTCATGAGTTGCAAAAGCTAGAAAGCTGGAATTTTAGAATGACGTAAATTGCCCGCATGTGACTCCGCAAATTTTTAACGACCTGCAGAAGATTTGGCGGGAAAAATCATTATCTTGAAAGCCAGAAGAGCTCGGGGGCTGAACACTTCAGAAAGATTTTTCCCGCCTAAACAGGGGCTTCACCAACTCGAATTCAGTTCCTAAGTTTGCCGAGCTGTCACATCACGTGAAAACTTCGTGAAAATTTTGTTGCAAAAGTCACTCGGAAGCCAGAAAATTGGAAAACTGAAATTGTTGGAGGATATTCACCCTTCGAGGTTTTAAATCCAGCTTTCACGTGCCGATGCGTGGTGTTTTTTGTGGGAAACCCCGCAATTTAGGAACCAGGCAACATTTCAACTATTTTTGCACAGAACAAAGTGTAAAGCAGCGAAAATCATTAACAGACAATCGTTTGGTGGGCGGAGCTGCACAAAACACATGATCACACCGGCTACCCTGGTGTGCGTCGCTATTTACTTGACTTTATTCCTGCACTCAGGCTTGCTTTAGTTTATTTTGTACCGGTATGTTTTTTTTTTCTCTTTACTGCGTTCTGCAGTTTTTTCTCGAGCTCCTGACTTGTATACTCGCTTATTTCTTGCCTGAAATCCTCCCTGCAAAGCAACACTTGAGTTCCTCTTCATCCCCACCATAAGAACATCCTGGATGCAAGCAGTTCTTCGGCACTTTCCCTAACCCGGGTGCTTTGCGGCAGAAACCAGGAGCACGCTTTTCCCCTCTATCCATACATCAACGCCTCCCTTCTCCCCTGCGTGGCCTAGGCACTGCCAAAGGATCTACGCCGCGTAGCCATCTAATGTATTCATACAGCCCCAGTCCCTTACACCCATCCCAACCCTTCTCCGTGTCTCGAATCCTACACCCAAGAAATGTGCTCATGCATTGCCAGCCCTTTTCCTCCCCCTCCTCCCCCGCCCTTTTTCCCTTCCCCCTTCCTTCCTCTGTCCTCTGCAGTGCACCCCCTCCCGAGTTCTTCCCATATCCCACGTATCCGCGACAAAAATCAGCGGCACGGTTCCTCCTCCTTTCGGCCATCACCTCCCCACGACCCCTCCTCCATGTGGCCATGTCACGTAACCAATCAATCCACCCTGCCAAACCTCTCCCCCTACCTCCAATTCCCGCACCCGAAATCGTACACAACTCCCATCTCCTCCACCACCGCCCTGTCCGCGTATCTAGTGTTATATGCTGTAGCGGGATAAGGACACCCGAAAAATCGTTCGCAGGTCTTGTCAACGCCGCCCGAGCCAAGCCGAGTTCTAGTAATTGCCACTGCCTCTTCGAATTCAACACACTCCACCTAGCCATTATAATTTATGCAGATTTGTGTGCCCGTATACAAGCAGTGAAAAGTGTGCTGCAGCCATCATTCATGACATACTTGCTCGGAACCGGTCCCAAAGCTTCAGTCTAATCTCCAGTTTAATTTAATTCGGCAATTTGAAGTAACTTTAGTTAGTTCCGAATGTATCAGGAAAGAAGAGATGTATAGCCGGTGGTTCAGCTGGCTAGAGTGGGTCCCAGACCAGAATTAAGCAGTACGCAGCGGCCCGAGTATAAGTGGTGCGCCGCAAAGTCTTGCCAGAAATCTCTAATCGCTAGGGAGAAAGACTTAGGGTTAGAAGCGTCGCTCCGTAGCTTTCGCGCGGAGCTAAGCTTCTTACCA